TGGCTGGACGTATTATATACGTCCAAGAGGGAGTGTCACGCCACACCCACTGTAATTGGGCGTGGCTTACGAAACTTTCAGGAAATCTAAGTTTGACCCATATCTATAATCTCTGAAATTTTGGTGCAATTTGGAGACGAATTACGTGAGTTATTAAGAGGTTGCGTGTGGGTAGTCACTTATGGGCCACCCTGTACTATAGGTGATCGCATGTCTTTACACTTACAGCTAGCATGTTCATTGTCCAAGCTGCGCTCGATCCTAAGTTGTAAGTTTATTGCACGCTTGCAAACATCTTGTAGGTTTAATATAAACTACCAATACCAGGATGCGCGCCGAGTTGGACTCGTCGACGGTCCTGAATATTTGAAACAAATATTTTACGAGTATCACCCGTTAATGGTTAAGCAAACATCCCATTTTCAAGAATGCGATTGCATCACGTGATACAATTCAGCCAATCAGAGGACAAGAATCCGCAAACTCAAAGTTAAAACTTCGCACTATTAATATTATTAGGCTTTTACAAATATTATTACAAATATAATTCGCTCGCGCCCAAAAATTTCACGTGACTTTGATTTTGTAGTTTTGCAGCCGTACCACGCGTACAAAACGGTTTTACATAAACCCTAATCCCAACCTTTTAAACCTAACCATAACCCCGAAGCTTATATCCATAACCCTTACCACAACCCTAACCCTAACCCAAGCCCTAATCAATCGAATTAATGTTTTACTAGCTTCATGTCACGTGACCAAAACGGTTTCTTGCCCATAAATCACTTGCTCTATCCAGAGCCCTTGCGCTTGCAGTAGCGCGCGCCCGCCTCACGGCATTAGCTGTCTTAACTGAAAAGACCTTAAAAGTAGTTACTGGACTTTGCAATGTATGAAGCGTGCAATAAACTTATTAATGATTAAGCGCGAGCTTAAACACGCTGTGAAGACGCGATCACCTGTAGTAATACGCGCGGCCGTCGCCCAGCCAGTAAGATTTGCTTTCACTTACCTAACCATGCGCTCTCGCGCCGCTGCGGTGTGCGGGCGCGCTTGTTTCATAAGTAACTGTAAAGAAACCGGGAGGCGGGCGCGCGCCACTGCAAGCGCAAGGGCTCTGGCCTGGATCGATAGATCAGAGCAAAGGTTTGCTGGGTACTGTCAATCTCCCAATGGGACACGTAGTATATACATTATTTTTGAAACACCCTGTATAGCTAATTGACTCTGAGTAACAATTTTTATAGATTTATAAAGTTTTCGTTGGGGATCGGAGGCGGATTATCGTTGTTGGTACTTGTGAATTAAGCTAGTACTGTACTACTAATGAAGCACTGTACACGATGTTTTCAACAAACGAGTCCAGTGAGCAAGCTCAACTGCAAACTGACGGCTCCTTGTTCATTGTTGTATCACGTGGTGACCCCCACTGTCGCTTCACTTTAGTGTATCGTCTTCGACGATACAGGGGGAGCCGTGCACTTCGTGCGCGGCGGGTCATACAACGTATGACAAGTTCATTGTTAATGGACTAGCCCGACGCGCGCTACTCCGCAGAAATTTAGACGAGTAACATCCGTCAATATAATTTGTAAGCGAGCGAATTAGTAAAAGCCCGGAGATATATAGTACTAAGCTCCAGCTAATAAGGTTTTCTTCGATCGATTGATGATGTCCACCCTTCCAAATCTGAAATCGTTTTGTCATACGTTGTCATACGTTGTATGACCCGCCGCGCACGTATCGTCCATAGTGAAACGACCGTGGGGGTCGCAACGTGATACAAAAATCGTTGCTCTGTGATCAAGCAAGAATGCTAGTTTGCGCGGTGCAGCGAAGCGGCGAAGTCATCCAACATCCAAAGTTTTTTTTTGAGTAATTTGTAATTGCGATAAAAATAAATTTTGACATTTGATGCTTTGGCACAATGCACATTGAAAACATTGCGAAAACACTTGTGTGCTGTGAAATAAATCATAAACAATAAATGAACTTACCTGGGGACCTCAGGCTATCATGTTCATTAACATAGAATAGAGATTCGGCTTGATTCACGATGTCAATCCTTCGCATCTCGCCGATCTGCATACGTGGTTGCGAGAAGCATTATTGGATGCGCGCGCGCGACCCAGTAGTGCATTGCGCTACAAAGATTCGGCGGAATGACAGGCTGAGCGCGGCCCAGTAATAAATGAACATAATATATATAATATAACACAACTTTAATGGGTGATACTCGTAAAATATCTGTTCCATATATTGGACCGTCGACGAGTTTAACTCGGCGCGCGTCCTGGTAGGTTGTAAACCTACAAACACAACTTTGATAATTGATAAAATATTTTATCGAATTGTTGTAGGTTTACAACCTACCAGGACGCGCGCCGAGTTGGACTCGTCGACGGTCCTGTATATGGAACAGATATTTTACGAGTATCACCCGTTAAATCTGACCAAAGCTAGAGCCTAGCCCTTTAATTTTGCGCTTGCAGCATCGTGCAACACTATTATATATGTTTCAACACTATGTTTCACAATCACACTGTTACGTACCGTGTACGGCTCTTTCTAAATCGCTCGCCCAAACCGTAATAACAATTTCAACTTTTGCGCGTCTCCTAAATGCGCGTTAGTTATCTGTGATAATTTAGCACCGGCGAACCACATGTTCTGCCTACTAGCAAAGTTTACTCAAAACGTTCCGCGCCCGCGGATAAGTCAATATTTGTGGTTTTCAGAGACCAGATATTGCCATATCTGGATCATTAAAAAGGCCACCTGATAAGTCTATACAGACATCAAAACTCTTTTTATCAGTAGTCAGAGTGGTTCGTTGTCATTTTAGTAGTAGCACTTCCTTATTGCTAATATATAATTGGGAAAGCAAAATAATAACATTGGAAAATACAGTTCACTTTATATCTCCAATATTATTGGAAAATACAGTACACTTATCTCTAGTATTATTTGAAAATACAGTACACTTATCTCCAGTATTAATGGAAAATACAGTACACTTATCTCCAGTATTAATGGAAAATACAGTACACTTATCTCCAGTATTATTGGGAAATACAGTACACTTATCTCCAGTATTATTGGAAATACAGTACACTTATCTCCAGTATTATTGGAAAATACAGTACATTTATCTCCAGTATTAATGGAAAATACAGTACACTTATCCCCAGTATTATTGGAAAATACAGTACACTTATCTCTAGTATTATTGGAAAATACAGTACACTTATCTCTAGTATTATTGGAAAATACTGTACACTTATCTCTAGTATTATTTGAAAATACAGTACATTTATCTCCAGTATTATTGGAAAATACAGTACACTTATCCCCAGTATTATTGGAAAATACAGTACACTTATCTCTAGTATTATTGGAAATTACAGTACACTTATCTCTAGTATTATTGGAAAATACTGTACACTTATCTCTAGTATTATTGGAAAATACAGTACACTTATCTCCAGTACTATTGGAAAATACAGTATTATTGGAAAATACAGTACACTTATCTCTAGTATTATTGGAAAATACAGTACATTTATCTCCAATATTAATGGAAAATACAGTACACTTATCTCTAGTATTATTGGAAAATACAGTACACTTATCCCCAGTATTATTGGAAAATACAGTACACTTATCTCTAGTATTAATGGAAAATACAGTACACTTATCTCCAGTAATATTGGAAAATACAGTACACTTATCTCTAGTATTATTGGAAAATACAGTACACTTATCTCCAGTATTATTGGAAAATACAGTACGCTAATCTCCAGTAATATTGGAAAATACAGTACACTTATCTCCAGTATTATTGGAAAATACAGTACACTTATCTCCGGTATTATTGGAAAATACAGTACGCTAATCTCCAGTATTATTGGAAAATACAGTACACCTATCTCTAGTATTATTGGAAAATACAGTACACTTATCTCTAGTATTATTGGAAAATACAGTACACTTATCTCTAGTATTATTGGAAAATACAGTACACTTCCTCCAGTATTAATGGAAAATACAGTACACTTATCCCCAGTATTAATGGAAAATACAGTACACTTATCTCCAGTATTATTGGGAAATACAGTACACTTATCTCCAGTATTATTGGAAAATACAGTACACTTATCTCCAGTATTATTGGAAATACAGTACACTTATCTCCAGTATTATAGGAAAATACAGTACACTTATCTCTAGTATTATTGGAAAATACAGTACATTTATCTCCAGTATTATTGGAAAATACAGTGCACTTATCTCTAGTATTATTGGAAAATACAGTACATTTATCTCCAGTATTATTGGAAAATATAGTACACTAATCTCCAGTATTAATGGAAAATACAGTACACTTATCGACAGTATTATTGGAAAATACAGTACACTTATCTCCAGTATTATTGGAAAATACAGTACACTTATCTCCAGTATTATTGGGAAATACAGTTCACTATATCCAGTATTATTTGAAATTATAGCATACTATCAGCGTGGTTCGCTGTAAGTGTAGTCTCAATAGCATACAGCATTTGTGTATTAATAATCTATCAATTTGTTTGAGGTTGCTTTAACAACAATCCCAATAATGCTCGCTTGCTGTTTTTCTGAATATAATATTTGGGTAAGCAACTAATCCATTTTAATGACCTACTTGAACAATGAACAGATACATTTTTCCTCTTTTAAGCGATCGGAGACTCATAATAAGTGTTACGTAGAACAGGGAATCAAGAGGAGATGGTTTCATTCATTATACTGTATTAAAATGAAAACAACTTGTTTTGTAAAAAAGAAAAAATTAATCAAGCAATAAATGATGCAATAAAATAAAACAAAAATCAGATTTAAATTGATAAAATTCGACCAAATCATACATCATTCTCGAAATCAGAGTCTGATCCGAAACCATAATTTAGTTTCCTTTCGGGAAACTTCTTTCGCTTTTTTTGCTCGCTTTGGGAGCGAATCTGCGAAGTCCGTCCGCTTTTCTGCCCGAGAAGTCGTTGACAACAGTGACAAATCGTCCCGAGTTGCTGTTACCGTCATGTCAATCTTTGTCATCTCCGAAAGCCTGAATGTTAAATGTTTTGATACATCGTCGAAAAAATATATGTTCATTGCAATACACATATTTGAACAGCAAGATAGTAACATATACATAACATTAGCAGCGGTCATTAGCAACGGTCATTGTCCAGCTATAAAATACAAATAATATTTTTCAGCTTCACATAGAAACTGTATCACATGACAGTTGACACGTAAAGACCTGATTTTCACAATTTCACCTTTTCACAAATTCATAAATTGTTCGTTTACATGTTTACATATATAATAACATCTATAAACAAAAGAGCACCTAAAGACTAAAGAGGCTCAGCAAAGTGCTGGCCTATTTACGCTTACGAAGACTCATTTGTTCAATATGTCTCAAAGTAAATAAACTCCTCCATCCTACTCTATCTCTTGCTAAGTTCACTAAGTTGGTAAAATCATCTTCGTTTTTCAAATAAATTTGTCTCTTAAATAGGTCCTTTTTCACAATAATATCATACAAATTAGTCCTATGTCTACCCACTCGTCCCTTTAGCGTTTGACATCCTAGTGTAGCAAATAACAGAGACTGGTAGGCAGGCGTGTCGTTGTCACTGCGTAGAACATGACCTAGCATTGTCCACCGTGCCTTTTCCACTCTCTCGGAAAGGGGCCTGGTCTGGGTACGAGCGTAGAGGGCCTTGTTAGATATTGAGCTAGGCCAATAGATGTGTAGGATGCGCTTGAGGTGCTTCCTCTGAAAAACATCTACAGACTCTAGAACATGCTGAGGTACGGCCCAGCAGCAGCAGTTGTACAGGAGCACTGATACTACTAGTGAGTCGTAGAGTTTGATCTTTCTCTTCTCAGTTATCTGACTCCTCTCTGATCCCTGGCACCACAGCTTGTCAAATGACCAGAAGGCGGTGTTAGCTTTATTTATTCTATTAGTAATATCCTGCTCTGATCCAAGCTTAGTACCAAGAAGCGTCTCGTTTCTCCACTCCTCTTTTCCTCTTAGCTCATTATCCCACTCGTCGCAGGCACCAACTTCTTCTAAATACACTCTGGTAAACTTTGTCTTTGTGTCATTGACAAAGAGACTCCATTCACTGAGAATGTTCTTGGAGATCTAAAATATATCCTGTAACTCCTCCATATCTTCACCAATCTTCTTTACATCGTCTGAATAGCCGGACTCAAGAGGCATGTGGTTATCGGCTATCGGAGGGTTGGGTCTTGAGGGGAGGACTGCTCTTATGTGCACTACAGCTCCAGCTAGATTGAGGGTAAACAATTTACCAGCTGTGCTGTCTCCTTGGGAGGCTCCTATGTTGAAAGAGAACATCTCTGAGTCAGTAGAACACACTCTGACTACTAGAGTGGTGTTAGCCATGAGGTATTGTACAAGCCTCAGGTCGTCTCTGGAGCATCCTGCAGCTTCTAGTAGTCTGATTGTTGTACCTCTGCAGATGGTATTGAAGGCAGCTGACATGTCAATACTCACTTTGTTCCATTCAAACTCCTTCTTCATTACTACAGATATGAGCATGCTCTGTGCCCAAACTAGGTCGGCACAGCTCTTGCCAGCTTTGTAGGCAGCTTGGAACGGTCCGGTGAAGTTGTCCACAGCTCTCTCTATTCTGTTTAGCACTATCAGTGACAGGATCTTTCTAGAACATTCAGCATGGTCAATGGTCATATCGACTTAACTGGGCCGCGAGTTTTACCAGGCTTAGCCAGTGGTGTAAGGATGCCTGCTCCTATTGCTTCAATGTGAATGTTTTTCTCGAAAGACTCGTTGAACACTTTAGCTAGCTCTTCATGAAGGAGGGGTTTGTTCAGGGCTTTCATGACCCCGCATGTTTACATGGTGATTGTTAATTTTATCAATTAACCTTTGTGTTAAAGTGTTAACTTGTTAAATATTCACTTTATCTATCTACTTTTGTTATTTAGTTTATTTTACTTACCGTGGAAGAAGCATCCCATCAATAACACTTGAGACAAGGTCTCTCATCTCACGTCTATTTTCAGGAGCAACACTGAAAAAATTATGAGTAAATATACAGATGGTCGCAAATTTTGTTGTGTCACGGTATTGTTCATCAGGTTTGTGATTCGCACACTAGTAATGATTTGCAAGCCGCTTTGAACAATATTATTTTAAGGTTTCTTGAAAGTTTGGATTTCCAGATGTTATTCTAGGTCACCTAATACTTCTACCTTTTACCCTATCTACCTATCTGTCCTTTCAATTTAGGAGCCTAACCATCGACATTTTTTATAACACTCGAATAACACCTTTTCAACTTAATACAAGATATCTAAACTATAGCGTAATAAAAACGAACTTATAGATCATGCTCCTAAGATCTGCAAGCTTTCCGAATGTTGCATTTAGGTCTCCCTCAGTGTTTTTATCTGTTTTCTTCGGGCTCTGGTCTTGTGGAAAACTATCGTGTACTGTTAGTGGAAGACTAACTTCTTGAGTCGAACAGCTAGCACCAGGATCCGTGCATAGGTGAGGATTGTGCCTGCGATACAGTGTCAATGAAATTAATTGTTATAGAATCCGTATCAAAATAGGCATAGCGTTCTTATCAGATACAAGAGGATGCAATGATCAAACAACTAGTTTTACGCTGAAATAGGTTATTCATAATTACTTAAATGAAGCAAGATCCGTTTCTTACCTGAATGAAAGCGGAAGATCGGTCCATTCAACGTTCGACTCACGAATAACCACCAATAAATGTTTGCACGGTAATTCTGGGTAAGACCTGAAGTTCAGGCAATCACAATGGACACTCGGACTGGCGGTGACCTGGAAATGTGGGTAATTAGTTATTGATTAATCTGATTGTTATTTAATACTCAATTAATTGATAGTAAAGTAAATGTCCAAAATACAAGTACAGGGAGCATCGAAGAGTGTTGTTAAGTAGGGGCGATTGTGCTCGTTATGGGACTACCAGTTGGCAGTTATGTGCTAGTACTGAGCGTAAGGAACGCTGGTATGGCTAGGACCCTGGTATGGCTAGAACAGAGAAGGTACTTAGACTGGGTGGTGTAGCCGGTGACTGAAACGGTTTAAGAAAACATGTGAAGAATGTTTAGGGCACCCTGGCCCTGATAAGCAATGCTGAGTAGTGTAGGTTTATTTGATGGCCTGGAAGTGCTAGTAATTGTTATTATATCATAATAGTCGTAAGGAATTAAAACACAGAAGGCACAAACAAGTTTACTTTGTCGCATAATCTTGATGATATCTGAACATTATTTTTTTCGAAATTTCAATAAAATTGACAAAAATTTCGAAAAATTCCATTTATTTCGAAAAATAAAGCCCCAATCGTTCTGAAACTATCATTCGCCTGCCATAATGTGGCCATTGCGGTCATTTTGCACCCCCTATGGAGATCTCAAGACCTTCGGGAGCCGAATAACCAATATTAGGGGTGGGGCGTATGGGTTCCTGGAGAAAAATGACTATAAAAATGTTTGCCCAAAAGTTTCAGCTGGACGGTTTTTTTTTGTGGTTCCTGGGACTATGGACAACACATTCCAGTAGACAAACCTTTGTTACGAATTTGTTCACAGAAAAATCAACTCATGCCCTAACTACATGTGTGAACTGTGAAATTGAACAAATAATGATATACCAGCTTAAACCCCTTATATTATGTACTATTAAAAAACCCGTGGTCACAGTGAGCAAGCTAATATTGATAGATGGATCAAACAACACTGCTAGTACCACGCACCAGTCACAAAAATCATTATCAGGTGGTAATATGTTAACAGTGTCACAATTAAACTACCGCAACATGGTCAAAAATAGGGTTATTTCGTCACAAAAAATTATTATAACTCTGTTAGCTTGCTGGCAAAATAACTAGTTCATTGATGATAAAGATACATAGTATTCTAATAGAGGTATAGCTCTTCAAAATAGGGGCAAGACATGTTTACTTTGTCACATCAGTAATTATTATAAGAGTTAGGTAATCGTCATCAGATTAACAGATCTTGTTCGTAGTTTGTATCGATTAATACAGGCAATAAAGCATCCTATGCCAATTTAAACACACTATCTTGATATTGTTGGGGCAGGAAAAGTTAATTTTGTCACATTTTTAGTGACTTTGACAAATTTAACCTAAAATTGGGGGGGGGTCAACCTCATTTTACCTCATGAGGCCAGCCAAAAAAGGCAAAATTGGGATGAGGTAAAATGAGGTAAAATGAGGTAAATAAATCTAGTTTTCTAAGCCTTTTTTTAGAGACAAAAAAGGTTTATTCGAAGTCATTATAATATAATTCGAGGCTGTGCATGGTCTTTCATGATATTTAATGGTTTATTAGGGGTGATGTGGTCCCTGGGAAGGGGCATTCCCAGTTTAACATACTTACTCTCCAAACTTGGGGTAAATAAAACTTAGCATTATAATTATTATTTATGAAAAGAAAATTGAACATTTCAATTTCCATGATCCATTAGGAAATTGTTAATTGCACTTGCTAAGTTTTGTAAAGGAATTAGCAATAACTTTAGTGTCACTTTGGCAGTTGCCAATTTATGGGGATATTTCCGCATTGCATGACATGGACCATTTAAATAATATCTTAGTTTGATATTGCGATTATCGAGTCACTCTGAAACAAATTGTGTCTAACTAGACCAAATGTAAACAACAGTTGTGCATGGAACTGGATTGGATATCTACATGAATTTAGTCGAAATTGCATAGTGAGATAGTGAAAGGTCATTTCATAATAAATTACTCATATAAACTCATACTTCATACAATTCTAAGTTCTTATCATGTACATTTTCAATGTTCATGATTCGCTGTAGAATAAAGGGCGGTTCACAAAACCACTTTTCGTTCATATAATTAGATATCACCTCTAATTAGTTGCTCTATAGGATCAGGAACAACCAAACAATTTTTTGTGTCTACGGTTTCGTATAATACTGACTTGGGCCACGCCCATATTTTTCACCAATTTTTAACAGGTAAAATTATCTAAATCGTCAATTTAGTCACGAAGGAGTTTGGAAGGAGTTCTAAATGTGTGCTCCTCTAAAACAGTAGGAAATGGTTAACTTTAGTCGAGGTTTCAGGTCTCTACAATGTCGGGAAGTTCCTGCAGGAATTTGCGCATTGCGCTGAAGCGCAAGATTCACTGCGTCAAAAGCGAAGGTCGTAGAGGCATGAGACATTGACTAAAGTTAACCATTTCATACCATTGCTATCAGAGTATGCCACTTTCAGAGTCCTGAACACACTCCTACAGCTCTTAATCGTCAATTATATGAATTTTACCTGTTAAAATATATCATCTTTAACTGATATCAATTTAGTTTAAAACACTGTTAGTTTTTAAAAAGAACATATTACTTCACACCAAACTAACGCACAATATGATAATATAAAAAAGGAAGGTTTTCCTTGGATTCCGAATTCAACTTTGATTATATCCTGGCACTGATTATCACTTCTCGATTGTTCTCCATTTTCCAATGCAGTCAGCAAGTTCCAATTTAGGTAGACTAGGTTTTCGAATCTTCATATTATGTTCAGAAGCAGGCCAGAAGGGGTTGTTACCAGAGGAATATCTTCTTGAACAAGGAATTAATGAGGTCTTCATTTATTTCTTCATAACTCGTCATTGACAGTCCGGACAGGATGAGCATTGACGAGATCCACTGATTACTTCATAGCTCGTCATAGATAGGATCAGTATTAAATGAGGTCGAATGATTACTTCATAGCTCGTCACTAACTGGATCAGCATAACATGACTAACAACTAACGAGGTCAAGTGATCTCTTGCTGATACATCAAAACAAGATCAGTAAATAGCTATAAAGGGGGGGGGCCAAGTGGATATTTGTAGATATTTGTAGAATGTCATCCACTTTTTTCGTGAATTATCCATTGACAATAATCTACAAATATCTACATTTATCTACAAAAAGTGTATAGAAATTTGTGTGATTTCTTATCCATTACATGTTTTATCTATTGGATTCCAGAAAGCTTCCAGTAATCATACATGTCATTAAATACCTGAATTAGGTTCCATATTTGATGTAACCACTCATCTATAATTTCATCAAGGACAACCCCTATATGCTTGCCTATACTTCTCTCAGTGCTTTGAATCTGACTGACCGTCAAGATCCTTCACTTGTTCTGGATCTGTCCTGCTTATACTAGTATTTTTTGAGAGAAGGATATTCAGCCACAGGACTTTTTCTGAAGAGTATCCATTTTCTAGCTGAGGCTTTCTTAGACAAGGATTTTAGTCCAGAGCAGAGAGTAGAAAAGGCTTGGTACTGCAAGTCTTTTTTTGTTCTCTGGAAATCTAATATAACTGATAGTTATCAGTTTATAACTTGGCAAGGCATCATGTAGCCGGTGGGCCCGACATGATACGACATATCTTGACACGTCGGGGTTTGTCGGGATTTGTCAGGGTTTGTCGGGGTTTGTCGGGGTTTGTCGGGGTTTGTCGGGGTTTGACGGGGTTTGACGGGGTTTCCGGTTTGTCGAGCCTGGAGGCTTTTTCTTTTTTTTTTCTTTTTTTTTGAGTCTCCCAATAAAAAGCCGAGACGGAGTCATCAAGCTTTACGTGGAAAAACACTATACAAGAAGGCCTCATGTAGCCGGTGGTCCCGAGGCAAAACCCCTCGACAAACCCCGTTTGTCGGGGTTTGTCGGGGTTTGTCGAGCCTGGAGGCTACATGATGCCTTTGGCAGACGTTTAAAGATCTGAAATGTACTTGCGATGGACTCATTCTCTATCTCCTTTTTCTGCAAAAGTAACAACATACCTACTAGGATCTGATGCTAATGAACAACTCTTTGCTTGGATTCGAACTGGTATCTTTGCTGGTCGCCGCACAAATCTCGATGCCATAACTTTAGCATACGGCTGCGAGAAAAGAAATCTTCGCTCAGAGCTCGCTCTTGCAGATGACATGACAGCCTATGCCCATTCCCGTGGACGCAGTATTTTCAGGGAAGAAGTTCCACTACCACACGAGACATGGAAGAATGATACGAAGGAGGTCCACGATTTGAGTTCAAGTGACATCAAAATAGATAGCTTGAAGAAAGCCATGGAACGAGGTACCAAGGCTGTCGTGGACGATGGTAAGAAGTTCAAGTTACCTTTCCTGCAAATATTTGAAGATGAAAACATCATCCGATTGAATGAGAGGAGGATATAAATGACCCTGCAGAGTTGACTGAGTGTGAGAATGATGAAGTGGACTGTCCCACTTGCACTGATGATACTTATAATATGTTAGAATCGGAGGAAGCAGATTCGGAGGCAGCAACTGAGGTCAGCACAACCCTCTTCGGAACGATCGACATAAGATCGGCAGAAACTCTGTTGCTGA